TATGTGTATGTGTATATGCACGTGTATGTAAATGTGTATATGTATGTGTATGTATATGTGTATGTATGTACACCATACATGTCTTGGTGCCAATGAAGGCTAAAAGAAGGCATTGGATCCCCTGGAACTGGACTTACAGACAGTTGTTAGCCACAGGGTAAGTGAACCCAGGAACCGAACCCAGGTCCTGTGCAAGAACAGCAAGGGGTTTTAACTGCTGAGCCACCTCTCCAGCCCTTGAGTGTAGACTTTGTATAAAGCTTTTACTATATGCTTTCCCTGTCTTTTTTTCTTTATTCTTTATTTTATAATTTTTTTTTTTTTTGGTTTTTCGAGACAGGGTTTCTCTGTGTAGCTTTGCGACTTTCCTGGGACTCACTTGGTAGCCCAGGCTGGCCTCGAACTCACAGAGATCCGCCTGCCTCTGCCTCCCGAGTGCTGGGATTAAAGGTGGGATTAAAGGCGTGCGCCACCACCTCCCGGCTTTTATTTTATAATTTAATTTAATTTTACATATCAGGCATGGATTCCCCTGGCTTTCCCTGTGTTAATCACACAGGACAGTGCTGAGTGGTAAGGACCATTATTGTCTTCATTTTGGCACAGAGACACGGGCATAGAACAGCCCACTGTGTGCTCCATCTGAGCTCTAACTATTCAGTGATAGACTTGAGATTTGAACCCAAGCCATCTGACTCCAAAGTCACAAATAATAATCACTAACACAAATTGTTTTTCCTTTGGGTGTCAAGCCAGAGTCGTCAGCCTTGTGAGATACTGAGGAACATGTGTCTGTATTCATGTTGTTGCTGTCTACATTTTTACACGAATAACAAATGTTTTCAATTAAATTTTTCATATATAGTTTTATATGAAGAAAACCTTTTTCTTCATATTAAAATTGTATACACACAAGATGTGTTTGTTTCCAAGAATGGGTAAACACTGCTACAGTCAGCACAATAATTTCTATTTTCTGGTTCAGGGGAAGGGCTGGAATGGAACTCAGTGCTAGGATGTTTGTCTTGTGTACATGATTTCCTGGGTATGACACAGACCTCCCCAGGAACTCCACATCAGAGTAAGGGGATATAAGCCAATGTGCCTCATCAGGGTTTCTGTTTTGGTAGCCCCTGGCTCTGGTGTCCCTCCAACAAGGACATAAGTTCAGCAGACCTAATGGGCTCCTGTCCTATTCTTTCTTAATCACCAGTCCTGAAAGACAGCAAGGATGTGTTCAGCAAGGTGGTCCAAGCTGAGCTTACAAAAGACCCTCATAGAGAGCTTAGAATCCAGACAAGACTTCTCTTTCCTCTCCTGCTCCACTAACATGACACATATTCAAGTAAAACATGCTGTGGAATGTAATGATTTCCCTTTATGAAAAATGGTATTAAATTACAATGTATAGTCGAAGAAACTCTATACTGGGTCAGAAAGGGGGGATTAATTTGTTTAACAAACATTCATTGTATTTCCACCAGCTCCTCATCCCTGGGCCACATGCTGGAGGCTGTTGTAGTGGGTAATCTGTCATTTAATGCGGTGGCTCTCAAATGTTAGTGTGTGTGAGTAAGAACCTCTTTGGAAACTTGTTTAAAATGCACAACCTGGGGCTGGGGAGATGTCTCAGTGGCAAAGTGCTTGCCATACAAACATAAGGACCTCAGTTTGAATCCCCAGTACCCATATAAAAAGCCTAGTGTGGCAACAAGCACCTGTAATCCTAGCACTTCTGGGACAGAGACAAGAGGATCTCTGGAGCACCCTGGCCTTCTAATCTTGTTGAATTCATAAGTTCCAGGTTCAGTGAGAGGTCCTGTTTTAAGAAGTAGGTGGAAAGTGAGAGAGAAAGACACTCAACATTTTTCTCTGCCCTCCATATGCAACACACACACACACACACACACACACACACACACACACACACACACACACACACCAAACTTCTGATTCCCTAGATAGGGGGAGAGTTAAGGAATTTTCACTGTAAGAGGCGACGTAGGTGACATTGAAGTTGGATCTTGGAAAACTTCAACCTAGTCAAGGGTTTAAGTTCTGATCAGCTGTGTAATCAAGCCCCTCAGATGCAGGATGTCAGGAAGCTAGATTTTCAAGTACAGGCCTTGAAAATCCTTCAGGGAATCTTAGAAAGACTTCTTAGAGTGGGCAGACAACATAGCAATAAGATATAAGGGCTCTTTCCAATCAGGAAAAAACACAGTGTCTGCAAATATCTAAGCAGGAAGAGAGGCAAAGCAAAGGGGTTTCATTGGAACAAGTCAGGAGCGTGTGTGTGTGTGTGTGTGTGTGTGTGTGTGTGTGTGTGTGTGTGTGTTGCTTACAATTCATCCAACTTATATACTCAAGCCTCATGTGGTTTACAGGTGTTTATCATGTGGATTTCGTACTGTAATTTTAAAACATTTTAAAGGGAGATGTAAGACCAATGCTGTTGAAGGCCTTCCATACAGAAATAGAGGAACGAATTGGTTTACTGACATAAACAGAAGGAAGGAAGAAATTCAAATGCTTCATTAAGAGTGCCTCAGCTGCAAAATAGAACTGGAAATGGGAGGACACAGATACCTACAAAATCCAGGTGACAGGAGAGCGGAAGAAGGGATGTGAGTGAGGGAAGGCTAAAACAGGAGGGCCAGGCCCAGGAGGAGCCATTGGTCTGGGGGTTCTGAGCAAGCCATTTGCTCCAACCCTGTATGTGGATCTTTAAAATGGGGCTGAACCTCCAAAAACTAAACTACCCTTAGGAATAAAATAATAGTATGTGTGTGGGTGTGGGTGTGTGGGTATGGGTGTGTGGGTGTGTGGGTGTGTGTGGGTATGGGTGTGTGGGTGTGGGGGTGTGTGGGTATGGGTGTGTGGGTGTGTGGGTGTGTGTGGGTATGGGTGTGTGGGTGTGGGGGTGTGTGGATGTGAGGGTGTGTGGGTGGGGGTGTGGGGGTGTGGGGGTGTGTGGGTATGGGTGTGTGGGCGTGTATATGGGCACATGCATCCCTAACTGCTGCTCAAGAGGAGCAACAGCCCACTGCAAGACTACTGAGTCTGAGTCCCCTGCAACTAACTTCCTAAGTGACTTACCAGACCTGAGCAGCCAAGCCACAGGGGCTGGAGGAAGGCTTTCTTTCCTTTCCTTTCTGCTCAACAACTGTGGATGATGCTTTGTGTAGGCCTGAGAATGACAGTCCTCTTAGCAGCCCCCACCCCAGCTGTTCCTGTACTCCCAGGAGCCCTCCCACCTTCTCCCAAGTGGAGCCAGCTGTTGTCACCAAAGCCACCTGCCTCTTCCCTGGCCTGTGAGTCTCCAGTTCCAGAGGCCTCTAGAAAGTAAGGCTTGAGGCCCTTGCAGAAGAAGGGAAAACAAGACAGGCACTAAAATTAAATGGATTGTCTACAAACGTTTTTTAATTAAAATTGTGATTCATTTTCATGGGAGAAGAGGCCCTTTAAGAATAATTGTGCTCCCTAAGTGGCAGGAGCCCAGCTTAGCAGCTCTGCCCAGAGCCAGAGGGAACTGAGGTGACAGGGAGAGGCATGGTTGGGGGTGCTCCCCTCTAGGGAGAAGAAAGCCACGTGCGAAGTGGGGGGAGCTGGAAAGAGGGAGCCGGGAGGAAACCTCTGCTGCAGAGGGGCCAAGCTTGTTGGGGACCCAAAGCTGGGATTTTGTGCTTTCTTTTGTTCCATAAGATCATGCCACCTTCTCCCTCCCTTTTTTAATCCTAGGAGGGACCCAGCCACCAACTTTGACAGAGAAGACAGAGCCACCCACATCCTTGGCTTTGGGGCAGCCAGCATAGAGAAGAAATGGAACTTGGGAAAGACAGGGAGGGAGGAGGGAGGGAGGGAGGGAGGGAGGGAGGGAGGGAGGGAGGGAGAGAGAGAGAGAGAGAGAGAGAGAGAGAGAGAGAGAGAGAGAACTGAGGATGTGAGAACGACTCTGAAAAGTAAAAAAGTGAACTGTGTGTGGGCTACTTCTCTGACCTGAGCAGAGCGCAGAGCCGGAGACAGCCCCCTACCCCCAACCCCACCCCCGACTCTCCTCGGCACTTCAAGGATCTGCTGTCCACCCTGACACCCGCCCCCCCGCCCCCCTCCCCGTCTTTGGACCTCCCTGCCTTTGGATTCTTCCACTGGGGAGTGTAGGCATAGCATATGAATTGGGGTTCTGGGGCTAGCTTGCACAGCCAGGAAACTGTGGTCCTGCACTTGCAACACCCACTTGTGGGGATGCCACCCTCTGGACCCTCTGCTATGTCCACTGCTTAAGCTTTTGAGGAGGTCATGTCCACTGTTAGCATCTTCCAGGACCACTCTCATTTTCCTCCAACACCAGGATGCAAGGCCTCCATCCTGGGCCACAGCCTATGTCCCGAGGGCAGGATGGAGGAGAGCCCCCGCCCACACACCCCCGTCAGGGATTAATATCTAGTTCGTTTTCTTTCGCCTTCAAAGTTTCTGTTTAACGGCCAAGAGATTTCAAAGTCAAAAGAAATTAATTAAAATCGTGCTTCTCCGGGACCGCGGATTTGCACAAAATCCCAGTGTTGAAGCAGCTGGAAACTCTAGAAACACGGAGAGCGTTAGGAGACAGAAACTTGTGCAGGACAGAAAGGACGGCACTGAGAAACCTGTACTTCGGACAAAGAAGCAGAGACCAAAAAGAACCCAGGACCAGATGCAGGTCTCCTCGGTGACAAAACGGCGCCCCACCCCCACCTCCGCGCTGCAAAGTTCACTTGCCAGAGTGTCAGTTGTGTGTGGGCCCTTCTCCCTGCACTTCCGGGACCAACACCCTAACCCTGAGACTCATCATTTGCTGGATCTTCTCCTTTTGCTCTCTCTCGCGCTCTCTCTCTCTGTCTCTCTGTCTGTCTCTGTCTCTCTGTGTGTTGTGTGTGTGTGTGTGTGTGTGTGTGTGTGTATGTGTGTGTGTTTGCGCGTGTGTGATTTTTTTAATTTTTCAAATATAGACAAAAATACACTTTATCATCATAGATATATATTTTTCACTCTCACCACATAAATACAAAAACATCCAAAGAGCCAAGACATCCATAACACAGTTAGTAGCCAGGATTCAGTGACACCTACCCGCGTTTGAATCGTTCGTTATTTTCTTCACTATTTACCTAAGAGAGAGAGAGAGGAGCAAAAAGAAAAAATGAAACAAGAAAAGAAACGGAAAACAGAAAAGGAAAAAAAACTTCGTATGTAAATAATTTACAATAAAGTTACTATTCTTTTTTTTTTTAATGTTTTGCGCTTGTTTCAGATGGGTGAGTACATTCTAGACACCGAGGCACCTCGTGCTCTGGGCCTGTGGTTTTGGTTACAATGCAGTGGGGTGGCTCTGGGGTTTGCGGTTGCTGCGAGGGCTGAGGCTGCACCCAGGTGGTGGTAAAGGTTCCAACTCCGGATGGCTGACACCCTGCGGTTGAGGTGGAAGAGGTGAAAGTCCTATCTGCCACCCAAAGAACCACTGGCACCGATGAGCTAGGAGCGTTGAAGGCCATACCGATGGGCACCCAGCCTGTCTTCCGAAAGCAAGTGCTCGGAAATTCGGGCGCTTCCTTCGTCCTGAAAAGCCTTTGTAGACACAGAGTTCAGAAGACGAAGCAGCGGGTGTTGATTTTCTTCCAACCCCAGCCATTCGGTGGTAGCTTCGTGTTTGGGAGACTGCCACCAACCACTGCGCTCTCATGGGAGGAGAAGGAAGCTGTGGGCCACGGCCCTGAACAGCCCCTAGAAAAGAAGATTCTGAATCTTCTCTCCTTGGCATCATTGGCTTTTCCTCTTTAAGTTCCTATCTAAAGTCACAGCACTCAGGATTTTAATTTTGCACGGCCCCGTGGTGCATTCTCTAGCCCGAATTTCTTATACTTTGAAAACTCAATTATTTATGACTGTTTAAAACCAGGTAACACTTCATCTGGTTTTGTGTAACAATTACTCTTGCTTTATTGCTGTTAGATCAAATTTATCACCACCTTTGCCTAACAAGACGTTTGATTTATCGTTTCTCGGGGTCGAGGAGCCTGCAATTAGTTTCCCTAAAGGGAATAAAACTCATCAGCTCTTCGGACAGGAGCTGAGTGTGCACCAATTATCCTGAGAGGTCTAAAAATCGGGGCCAGGAACTCCCAAAGCTCTGGTTTCTCTGACAAGAGGGGGTAGGCCCTTTTTGGGGGGTCTAAAGAAACCAAAAAGCCTTTTCAGTCCCTGGAGGCCTGTGAACGTATTTCCTCTTCCAAAAATCCACAGGAGCAGCGCACAGTGCCCCTATCCAGAGCAGGTGTCCGGGGCCTGGACTTGGGCTCAGTCTGTTCCCTGGCTGTCAGGGATTGGGGAACCAGGTTGGCTAATTCGGGTATTCCTCCCCAATTCTTTGGATCATTCCTGGATTCAGAAGGAAGCTGGGGTTGGAGGGAGGGAGGAAAAGCAGAGAGAAGAACAAAAAACAGCTCAAGTGAGATAAAATCAGTAGCCCGCGGGGGAGGGGGGCGGGAAGAGCAGTCAGAGGCCTAGTGGGGGCCAGCAAGGCCAGCGCAGGAGCACTGGGCGCCTAAAGCGCGCGAGTCCATAAATACCACCACAATAGATGTTATAAATATAAATACAGGATAACACTTAAAATCAGTCCAGCGCTTTTTTCTCGCCCCCTTCTTTATTGTTGGTCCGGGAGTAAGGCTCGAAGGCGGAGGAGCTCAGGTACCGGGCTGAAAGTTCTTGCAAATTCCCGGCTAGCGAACCAGCCATCGTCAACGGGGCGGAGGACAGGCGGCTGGCAACAGAGCCCAGGAGCGACGGCACCGGCAGACTGAAGAGACCGTGGCTGGCAGCTGGTGCTCCCGCGTGCAGTCCCCCGGGCCCTGCAGGCCCTGGGCCGGGAGTGCCGCCCACAGCCGGCGGGTGCTGAGACGCAGCGCCGGCGGGACCCGGGGCAGTGGCGGCGGCGGCGGCCGCTGCGGCCGAGCCCGCGGCAGCGCCAGCACTCAGGGCCGGGAGGCTGGGCCCGCGCAACGCCGAGCCAAGAGCGCCGGTGGCACAGGGCGGCAGCAGGGCAGGCAGACCGGGCGGCGACAGCAGGCGGCCCTGCTCCAACAGCCTCAGCACGCTGCACGTGGCGGCGGTCTCCGACACCACCGAGCGCAGCTCGGAGTCCTTGCCCTGGTCCTTCTTCTGCTTGGTTCGCCGATTCTGGAACCAGACCTTCACCTGAGCGCAGATATGCGGGAGGAAAAGTGGGAGAGAGCAGCAGGAAAGAGCAGGGTCAAAGGCAGCAGGGCTTTTTGGGGGGCTGGGGGGCTGGGTTACTGGGACCCTCCCCTAACCCTAGACCTAGCCTCAGCCCCACCCCGCAGCAGAGGATGGATGCTCCGAAGCTGCTAGCGGAGCAAGAGCCACCACGAGGGGGACACCATTCCACTGGGCTGCGCTTCCGGGCCATGCCAGCAGGCCTAGGCCAGAGCGGGTTACAAAAGCAAAGTAATAAAATGTCCACGACGCTGACGAGGAAGGAAGACGGCTATTTTGCTGTGCTGCTGCAATACCCACAGAGGTGTTTTGTGTTCACAAACTGGCCAATGAGCACAGCCTGAGAGCCTAAGGCCTGGGGAAGGTTGTGCTGAAGCTGAGGTGACCGGGGAACAGCGTTTCTCAGCCTTTCTAGATCCAGGTCGCTAGCCCAATGAGTTCAAATTTGGCCCCAGAAAATCTATCGGTGCCTCTTAGAGACTCCAAGGGGTTGTTCTCTGCTCGTTAGACCTAAGACTGACCACGAACCAGCAGCAGACAGAGAAGGTGGGGTGGAAGCAAGGTGGGCTTCCTAGGCCAGCCTTTCTCCACTTTTCAGCACCGGCTGGTTTGAAGGCTTGGAATTACACTCTTAATTTACCACTCCCTCTGCACTCCATCGGGGGCTTTGGCTGATGTAGACTAAGAACATCCCAATGCTCCCTTCCCCGTCTGCCTCTTCTGGCCTAGAATAGAGGGTAGTGGCTACATCGGGGAAAATAAAAACACCCTGTTTAGATTTTGAAAGCTAAAGGGGGGTTACTATGCCAACGCAAACTCAGATTTTTCCCATCTGTTCTGTCCTCAGTTCTCAGTGTTCAGCCCAGATTTTAGGTCTAAAATGCTCTCCACCTGTTTCAGCGCTGGGCCTAGGAAAAGAGACTGGAAAGGGGCCTGTCAGATTGTTAGCACACCTTGGCTAACCCCAAACAGCTCCCAGCCTTGTAGTGTAAATAGTATAAAGCTCATGGCTGTCATGGTCAGCTCCAGAGCAACATGGCACTTTATGGTAAGGAGAGGACCTAAAACCAAAAGACACAGTGTTCGGTGCTGGCACCCAAGTCACCAGATCTACTGCCCATCGGACACTGTCATTGGCACAGAGGACAGTGTCTCTTAGGACCCCAGCGTGGTGCTCAGGGCTGGCTTTTTAAGAGGTGGGAGCTGCCGTATTTGCACAGGTCCATCTCTGAGAGTTGGCACCACTTTCTAACCCTACTCCTTGCAGAATGGATCTTGGTGTTGGGTAAACTTAAAAGTCCCAAAGTGGGTGTTACTGAGAATATGGCCAAGATGATATGTATACAAATGGGGGGGGGCAGCTTTTTATAAATCAGAAGCCACGCAAAAATTCTAAAGTCTGAGAACTAACAGGAATTCCAAAAGGACAGAATAGGAGTCCCCTGGGTCAAATCAAGGTATGCAGCAATTAGAGCTTGGAGGACTTGAGAATGAGTAGAAGAAATGACAGTTTAAGAAAGAGGAGAAAGCCTCAGGCTTTCACCCCCGTCCATCATTCCAACTCCTCCACGTCTCTGGAAGGTTCGGTCCAAAGCAAGGTAGACAGGAAAGGCAGGCTGGAGTGCTGGGAAGAGGAAGCCTGGTGCTGTGAGCATCCTGGCAGCTGGGTACCTGGGTCTCAGAAAGATTGAGCTGCCGAGCCAGCTCGGTTCTCTCCCGGCCCACCACATATTGGCAACGCTGGAACTCCATCTCCAGTCTGTAGAGCTGCTCCGCCGTGAAGGACGTGCGTGTCCTCTTGGGCCGGTCCAGGTCCAAGCCCTTGGGCAGGATGATTTCTCGGATAGACCCCTTGGCATCTAGGGAAGGGTAGATGTCAGCCACCAGAACCCTCCGGTTTTCTCCTCCTCCTTGCCCTGAGCTAGCTAGGGACAAGTCTCCGGCAGGATGCGGCGGGTGTAGGGGTGGCTGCAGTCGTAAAGCCGAGCCCCTGTGGGTGTATGGAGACCAAAAGGGCTAACTTCATAGCATTAATTGGAAGAGTAACCAGACTTTGTGTTGGTAAAGTCCCCCAGACATCAGAGGAGGAAAAAATTGAGTTCCAAATAGGTGGATGTTCCTTCTGGCCTAGGGGGCCTCTGCTGCGTGGTCGAGTCCCCAGTATCCCAGAGGGGCCATTACTGAACACCCCAACCCCAGCATGGCCCCAGACTACAGAGCAACCTGCACTTCTGCGGTCCCCACCCCCCAACCCGGGTCTCTGGCCCGCTCCTACCCAAGCGGCAGAAGGAGGAGGGACCGAAAACCCGCTTGCGGGGCCTGGCTATCTGCTGGCGGGGGCGGCGCCGGCTGAAGCCGGCCTCTGCGCCGCTAATGCCCCGGAGGAGCGCACGCCGCTCCCTGAGCGAGGCCGAGTCAGGCAAGGAGGCGGCATCCGCAGCCCCGCGACCCAGTTCGGCGGTTTCTCTAGGCGGCAGCGGCCAGGCCCGGAGCTCAGCGCTAGGGCCCTCAGCCTAGCGATGCAACTGGCCGGGCGCTGTCCTGCCGCCGAGGGCTGTTCTTCCACGCCCAGTGTTCTTTTGGGTGCGCTCTGCTCTCCAGGGCTCAGAAGCCCGCAGGCCGCCTACCAGCAGGTCCTTATCCCGATGGTCGCGCGCGCATTGCCCCCTGAGGACCCGGGTCCGAAGCCCCAGCTTGGTGACCTGCCCACTCCTCGCAGCGCCTGGGTTCTTTCCGTAGCCGGGCTGGAGGGGCCCCTCAGGGCTGCTAGAGCCGAGGCCCCAGGAGAGCGCGTTCAGAGGAGCCCCAGGCTCGGATCCCCTAGGGCCGGCCAGACCCGACAAAAAGAGAACCAGCAACAACTTTCTCCCAAGTCCTCGCCAGCCCTGGGAGGCGGCGCGCAGCTGCGGCCAGGGAATTACCCCCAAAGAACGCACCCCCAAAGCCCTGCCCATCCCTACCTCGGACTAGGATCCGGCGACAGTAATCCGGGTCTGCAGAGGAATTGGATTTACTTTTGTTACAATCTTCCGAAGCGCCAGACGCCGAAAAGGCGCCCTGCGGCTCCTTGAGGAAGGCGGCCGGAAGGCTCCCCTCGGCGCCCTTGATCTCCCTGCTCTCCTTGTGCGCGTTCTTCGAGACCCTGGCGGCCTCGGTGTCCGAGTGGCACCGGACGTCCATTTTGTCTGGTTTCCCGAACATAGGCAAAACAACACAGAAAAGAAGAAAAGGGGGAGGGGGTAGGAAAAAAGAGGCAGACGGGGACAAAACCCCTACAACGCAGCCCCTAAGCTCCTTCGCCCGAGAGAATGAATGTCCCCGCGGGGTGGCTTCGGCAGCCGCGGAGGGTCAGCGGCGACCGGAGAGTGGCGCGCTAGAAGAGAGGCGGCGGGTCTGGTCCAGGATCCCGGTGGAGCAGTGGCGAGGCCGCCTCGTCAGCGCCCGCGTCCTCAGAGCACGTCCAGTGTCCCCAGCCTGGCGATCAGGTAGCGAACAGCGCGCAACTCCGTCCGAAACGCTGCGGCTCCGCCTGTTACTGAGGCGGCCGAGTTGTGGTTGTCCGACACCCGGGGGGGACGCACACTCGCTGTTGCAATTGATTACGGGTAATTTCGCAGCCCCCACGTTTCAGTTACCTCATGAATACACTAAATTGTTTGGATAATATATCAGATCGTAATGGATGGTTTCTGTCCTTGTCCCCAATCAAGTAGGGGTTTAGCCAGTGAATAAACGGAAATGATTGGTCTTGCTTTCGGGAAACACAATCAAAGACCCACACTTCCAGAAAAACTTTTGACAAGATTCATCCTGAATTGTTAGCACCATTAGCAGGCATTATTAACTTTCTCTTTGCCTTTGACCTTCCTGCTCACATACTGGCTAAAAGGGGTTTCCTCCAGATAGAGCTGAATGGGGGGGGGGGTACCCCCTCAGTCCATGTAGCTGAAGAAAGCAGTTGCCTCTGGGTGGGGAGAGAAGGGAGGAGGAGAAAAGTTTCTCCCTAAAGTCTCCCCCCCACACACTCCAAAAAAGCCAAGCTTCTCCCCAAGCGACTCTTTAACACACCTCGACGCTGACAGCAGCCATCTTAAACTGCCGACCCTCTTCCTGTAGCCTCCGTTGGATTTTTTTTCATGCCTGCACCTCCAGCAGCCCTGAGGCAGCCCATTCAAAGGGCAGCTTTGTACTCAGAGTCCAGCAGGAGGGGGGGAGTGGAGGGAGAGAGAGAGAGAGAGAGAGAGAGAGAGAGAGAGAGAGAGAGAGAGAGAGAGAGAGAGAGTAAAAATCTCAACTGTGAGATCTGCTTCAAAAAAAAAGTTTCCCCCTAGCTATTTCATTGTCTTGCTACAATGTCTTTGAGAAAAGCAACAGCCAGTAATCCAATAACAGCATTGATTAGGCCACAATGATTCAATTCAAGCGCATGGCCTTGTGCAAGGAGCTTGCTCCAGCCCTTCTCGTCACCTTGCCGGGGCAGAAGCCCTCTCCACGCCGCTCTCCCCATTCATTCCTTTATGGGAAATGCGGAGCAAAAGGAGTGAAAGATGGCAATTATCTAATTGGACTATTAACAAACAGTCCTCTGAGTGCGGCGGTCTGGCGTGGCTCCTGGGCGGGGGAAGGGCCGTGTTCCCGGCCCTCATTCACAAAGAGTGCAGGGGCCGCGGAGGAAAGGGGGTTTTTAAAAGGGAGTGGGGGGGGGGGGGGAGAGGAGAGGAGAGGTGGGAGGTTTGGCTGAGAATTTTTCCACACAATTCCAAGAATGGGGAGGAGGCGGGCGGGGGAGGGGCGGGGGTCTTGGCGAGAAGGTGGGAGGCAGGGAGTAAGTGGGGAGGGCAGCGAGTGTGTGTGGCGGCCTCCGAGGGGCTCTGCGCCCGCCCCACCGTCCGGCTGTCACCTCCAGGCCACCGCTGCGGTCCCTCGGCACTGTTGAACGTGGAGGGGGCCGGCCGAGCCGGGTAACCGCACTCCTCTCCACGCCACCTCCGGCCCCTTAAGGGCAACCACGTTTGGTCCGTTCCAAGGCTATCTGTCACACCACAGGCAGACCTGGGGCTTTGACTATATGACTGGGGGTACTTAGGGTGATTGTGTTGAGTGATGTCCACTGGGCGGGGAGTATCCGGGAAAGCAGATTGAGAGCCCAAAGATATCACTGTGGACGCAGCCCTCAGGCCCGGACACCTCCAGGGCGACCCGGTGGCAACCGCCGGTGATGTCCGCTGTCGCTGCCCGCCGGGAGGAACACAAAGCAGAGAGAAGAAAAGGGTCCCTCCTCCGCGAGCCATCCCGCTGTACAGAGATGCACCGCCCGCCTTCTAGGTCCCAATGACAACGTCTGTGAAGAAGGGCTCCTGCGGCCTCGGATGCTCCCAATTGGGTGCCCTATTTGCTTGCTGAGATCGGTCGGGAGCAGTGCTCCGGATAAGGGTCCTGAATTTCAGCCCAAAGACACACACCCACTCACCAAGCAGTGGGTGGCTCCGAATAACCGGCGTGGGGCGCCCAGACTCGTGCTTTGGAGTGAGTGGGAGTCCCCACTCTGGCTTAACCGCCCCCCACCCCGCGAACATCATTGGGATCCCAGCAACAGCCCAGACAGAACTGGGCAGCCTTAGATAGATCCAGGCTCCTAGGCCTTAGGATTCTGCAGCCTCTTAGTTACCAGGACATCAGCAGGCGGACACACCTGCTACCCACGAAGTTAAGGACTGGAGGAAAGTCTTTAAAAAAAAAAAAAATGGTCAGTTCACGACTTTTCTGAGGAGCCGGCCCTACACCTCCACTTTCTTAGAGACAAAGTTTGCATATTTTGTTACAAGTAGGAACGCGAGAGCTTTTGTTTGTTTGTTTGTTTGTTTTGAGCGCTCCCATATTGGGTGTCTAAACACATTTAATATGCTTAAGCCCTTTCTCAGAAAGGTAGCGAGGTTCCAGGTTAGGGCTAACTGAATGGAGTCTCAGAGAAATTCAATAACTTGTCCAAGCCACAGGTCAGTGAATACAAAATTTGAACTCTGTCTGTGACCTCAGAAGTATTCAGGTCTTCACCAATTTCTTGGGGCTCTGGGCTTTGAGTTTCCAGAATCCCCAAGGAATGGAGGTTGCTCAAAGAGACAGAGGGCTATGCCCTTAGTGTTAATGCTAAAACATTCTGAGCGTTCGACGTTCGTTCGTTTTCATTTGTTTTGTCCAAATAACATAAGATGGCAGCCGAAACACGAAGTTTTGCTTTGGTCATGCTATCTATTACTAGCCAGGAGCATTTTGGAGGAGCCTACCATCCTGTACCAACCTGATATGAGGTGAACAAAATCCAGTTCCCCGTGTCTCAAAGTTGTGTGACGACTGTCTGGGATCCAAGTTCAGGAATTCACTTTTCTATCGGCTAGGGGAGGGGGAGAATCTTTCCACAACTTAGTTGGAGAACTGGACCTTTTAAAGTTGGAGGACTCCAAGTTCTGAGGGCAGACCACCATCACTGCTTATTGGATCTGCAAGTGCCACTTGGGAAAGCAAGACAGTGGGACTGTGTGGGATGAAGTAGAGATTTATCCAGTGTCTGGAAATGTCAGAACCAAGGTAGCACTCAGGAGGTCTCCAGCACTCATGCTAGGTTGTCTTCTGCATCATCTAGACAAACCAATTAACTGTGTGAACTCACAAGCTTTCTTCAGAGCTCCGTATTTGCAGTACAAATAATGTGGTTATTAGATGCCCATCTAGGCTTCAAGTACTTGAAATAACCAAATTAAATAAAAAAGTCGATCCATAACTACTAACTACATTTTGTCACCCATAGCGTTCTATGCCCCCACTCCCCTCCTGTCTTTCTCCCCTCTCTTCCCTCTCTCCTCCTCCTCCTTCCCCCCTCCTCTCTCTCTCTCTCTCTCTCTCTCTCTCTCTCTCTCTCTCTCTCTCTCTCTCTCTCTCTCTCTCTCTCTCTCCTGGATTACAATTCTATGGGCATCCATCCAGAAAAAACATGACAGGTTTCCCAGAGGACACAGCAGAGGATGGAAATTTCAGGAAAGCAGCTGCTGTTCCCAGCCAAACGCAAAGCTGTGTGTCCATTGGCAAAAGAAAGGAGGGAATTCACTCAATTATTTGGATAATCTGAGATACTCTTGTGCTGTGCCGCACACATAAGGACATAGGGCTGCTCCAGGTGAAAGTGTTTTATTTCCCCAGCTACATTCCTCCCCCTCCCAGTGCCCCTTTCTGCCCCCACATGTCTATCTGCAGGTGCAGAGAGACCCAGAATAGAACTGTAGAGCTGGAAGGATTTTTAGAGATCATCTATTCCAGAACCTTCATTTGACTTGACAGATGAGGAAAATGAGCCGGGAAAGACAAAGCAACTTATTAAGGATTAGACAACTAGTTAGTGGGGGGTCTCTGGGCTGCGGTCCTGGTCTCCTGACTCAAAGTTGCATTCTGGTCTCTACCCAGGCTTTCTAGACTTGGCTGGAGAAAGCACTCTTTGGGACGGGGTGATGTTGGAGAAACGAAGCTAAAGGTCTCTTTGAGCCCTGGGGATGTTGTTTGTAGTCTGTGCCCCTGAGCCCTGGGGGTGCTGTTTGTAGTCTGTGCCCCTGAGCCCTGGGGGTGCTGTTTGTAGTCTGTGCCCCTGAGCTCTGGGGGTGCCGCTCATAGTCTGCACCTCTGTCCACTTCTCTCATCCAGGACATTATAAATCAGTTTCAAGATGGTACCAAGAACAGTCCTCTGCCATCCTTCCTTTGTCTTTTCAGAAGAAGTAGGAGGTGAAACTTGCTGGGAGAAAGATCCAAGATCCTCTTAGATTATGAGGAAGACAACATAGCTTACTATGATACATCATTTCAAAAATAATTGCACCAGAGAAGATGAGGCAAGCAGAAAGGAAGTCTTTCTGAGAGTGGATCGGGGCACTCAATAATAATTAATTAAAACCCAGGATAACTGGCATTTACAGACTTTCACCTGCAATGTTGCCCACGTTGGGGAGCTCAGTCTTGTCTAGTTGCTAATGCCCCAGTCATGCAGGATAGGGGTTGGGGCAATGGAAAAATAAATGAACCACAGCTTCTGTTGAACATCTAACATGGAGACTGGGGCCATGCATCCAGGCATTTCTGTCTTGCTTCCACTCAAGGACAAGACAATGTGCAGAGAGCCAAACTCTGGATTAGTCTATTTACATGAAAACAATTGATTCTATTTCTTAGCCTGCATGTTGTATCAGGAAAATGATTTTTGTCAGTGAATTATATATTTTGAATATGAAACATTCAATTTTAAAGGAGTCTTAGAATGGCATAGTACAGTTGTTCTATAGGTTCATTCATTTTTTTTAATGGAACAAAACCAAACAAATAAAGAAATATGGCTTCTGGAGTCAACCAGGTCACATAACTCATATGTGCAACTCCTAGATCCATTCCTTACTAGACAATCATCTTTGGATGGGCTACATTCTTTCTCTGTGCCTCAGCATTTTGTCTGCAAGGTAAGTTTAGCTCTAGCACCTATAAGTATTGGATAACCAAAATAATATGCTTAAAATGGTACCTGGCAGATTGTGAGCACTGCCAATAAATATTTGCCATTAGTGTCCTTAATGTTGCATCTCTGTGGGGGTCAGTCTCATGTTGATAGAACATGAGATACCAAGAAAAAACCAGGAGCAGCCAGGATAGCTGATTAGCTCTGGGAATAGGTAGCAAGGGTGTTTGGCTTGAACACCACACAACAATAAGTACCCAGAATTTAAGGACTGCCATGATCTAATTAAACTCCCCTAGCCATAAATTCATTGCCATTCTTCCCATCAAGAGCCATAATCAATTTCTCCTTTGCTAAATTTGGGTAGCTTTGTCATATGCCTTGTTAAACAAAATTATATGGAAGTGTCCTTGTCCTCCTTCAAGGGTCTGAAAGGGATGTGGTCAGCTTCTGTCCTTTGCTTAGATCCCAGCTTTCCTGCTGAGAGGAAGGCAGCCTAGGAGAAAGGAGGCTACAAGAGAAAAGTAGTGCTTGGGGTATGACATAAACATCAGTGCATAGGAAAGTGAGGGAGTGAGGCCATCTGACATCCATGGTAACTTTAGGAGAGATCTTGGTGTGAACCATTGGCTGAGTCCTGTCCAAAGAACAATCTTGAGGAAATATGTGGTGGCTGTTGCTTTAAACTGCTGAACTTTGGGTGTGTTTTTTATGCTTCAGTCAGTAACTGAAAAACCCATATTATAGAGGAGGAACTGAATCTCAGCCATTTGTCCATAGCCACTAAGCCACGAATCACCACAGACCAGGGCCAACTAGAACCGCCCAGCACCAAAATCTGTGGTGGTAATCAACAGACCCTAGCGACCCCCCAGAATTATTCAATTATAATGGATTTCTTTTTGATCTTTTCATATTTCAGAGTTACCTGCTATAAGTTGGGCTAATAAAGGACCTAATTTGTTAGCCTTAAGATGAAAAAGAACAATTGTTTTAGACAGTGGTATCTGACATGACGTCTCTCTTGAAAAGTGAAGGGAGCATCTCCTTGGGACCTGGATTTCTTTAAAACTTTTCTTTTTAACAAAAACTTTTATGTGTATGGGTGTTTTTCTGGCAATACCTGTACGTGTGCCATGTGCCTGCAGAGGCCAGAAGAGGGCATCAGATCC